TTGCCTTGTGGCTCTTGGTGGTGTACAGGGAATCACAGACAGTGCAGTGTATGAAACACAATGAGGAGAACAGGAGGTAGATACATCAGAAGTACCTCAACTGCAGAACTGGTCCTTCATCCAGCTCCTTGTTGCTCACTTCTCTAGGTCCCAGCAAAGGGTGGAAAAGTTCCACTGACCTTTGCCTGTTCCTTTCATGTGTTTTTTTTCTCTCTTGTTGACTGTTATGCTTAGGTATGAAATCTGCAAATACTCTGGTGTACTCACCTTTGCTTCTGTAGAATTTTTGTCCTTTTAGGACCATTCAAACGAGTTTCCCACCTCTTGGTGCAAGCTGTGCTGTCAGCCCTGAGCTTTGTGCAGAGCCCAGCTGTTAGTTCAGGGGGTGCACTTCCTTCTGCCCTCTGCAGAGGCCTTCTGACATGTTGGCTGTGTCTTGCAATGATATTAAACATTCCAGTTCTAGCTCAGGTACAGTTCAGACTGGGAATCCTGTGTTCACCTTCCCTCCAGAAGAGATGAAGTTTGCTTTCTGTTTCAGGAGAAACTAAGGGAATGTTATGGACAATGGCCTGTGTCCTCCTGTGGCTGTAATACTGGTTTAGTTTAGAAGAAAGAAAAACCTAAAATAAACCAAATGACTAGAAAAATAATTTTCAATCTGCAGCCTCTGTATGTTTGGGAACAGAATTAAACAGTTATTAAACTGAGACCTATGTACATGACTTTCCTTTTCTTTCCTTAACTGCAGTGACAAAGAACAACGTTTTTATGCCATCAAGCTTCTGTGAACCCTCTGCAGGCAATTCAGACTCAGAACCAGGTGAGCTTCCCCATTTTCCTGCTTTTTCTCAGCAAACTGCTGTCTGTCTGTCATGGTCCAGAGTCCTTTGATACCTCAGAAGTATCCCTATCTGGAAGTGGTGACAGCTCTGATCTTACAGCTGTTCTCTTGTCATTTCATTGCTTGATTTCATGTTTGCTGGGCATTATTAAAATAAGAAATATCAAAATCCTTAAATACTTTGGGAGTGGTGGTGGAACGCAACATGACTTTATGCCCACTTGTTAACCTCAAGATAAAACTTAAGGGAATTTTTTTATACTTTTTTTTTATACTGAAAATCAAATCAACCATAATCTATGGACCTGGGAACCTTGTGCTGGCAGCACAGTTATTTTGTTAAGGACTGTTGTCCTGTGGCTTGGTTGTGTTGGCATTGCTGTAGAGCACGTTTTGGTTTATGCTTAACTGGCATGAGGAAAATGAAAGTACAGTAAGGTGGTAAGTGCTGAGTGTCTTATTCTGAGCACAGCCATTATGCCCCTGAAAGGAAACATTTTATAATTATACCCTCTGAGTTCTTAGGAGCTCCTTTTGTAATAGCTGTGGATTTATGAAAAGAATTCTTTTCTAATTTTTAGTATTTTAAATAAAAGCCTTAACTGTCATGAGAGCAAGCAAAGGAATTTTTTTTACCTTCAAACTATAAAAGCATAGAGTAAAAGCTAATGTATTGTAAGAAACTAATATGAAGTGATTAAGTTTAATTTATAATTAGCAGCTGGGTGCTTGTTAGCAGCTGTCATGTTCATTCATACTTTTGATTGTCCTTTCTTTAGTTTGTTTCTCACCTAAACCCTCTGTAACCTCTGCTAACCCCCTGTGAAGTCCTTCACAGGAGGAGCTGCACTTGCCTTGTGAAAGGATCTGTTTCACCTTTCTCCTGAAAAATAGTACTGCATTTTTTTTTTCTTGCAGCAACTTGGGTTTGTGTCCTTGTGATGTCTGTGCTGTGATGGTCACTTGGGAATTCAGATTGCCTTGGGAAAGGGATTTGTTCTTTAGAAATCTGTGTGACTTTGGACGTTTATAGAAGTTGTGGGTTGTTACAGTGAGGAAAGCATGAGGAATTCTGACTGGCTGAATGTCTGGAGTATGTTCCAGCTGAGTCCCTGTAATTGTGTTTTGCTCCCAGAGGAGAAGAGCAGTGGATTCAGGCTGAAGCCACCAACACTTATCCATGGCCAGGCACCCAGTGCAGGTGAGTTCAGTGTCCTCTGCAGCAGAACAGAGAATCCAGGTCAACAAGAGCTGTCTCAAACTCCTGCTGTAACTGGAATTTGGCAATGCTTGTGTTCATGCAGAGCACAAATCTGGCATTCTCCAGGATGGTTTTGGCTCTGTCTGCTGTGTGGTGGGCACAGACATGGCCAGGCTGTGACCTGGATCAGCCACACGTGTCTGAAATGGATCTCCCAGTTGTCTCTGCTTTGACAGAGTTCTTCAGTTGAGCTCTTAGAGCAGTCCTGGGCTTTATGAACTCAGTTCCTTTGGTAGCAAACTGGAACAAAAGGAGTGCTGCAGGAGGGCTCAGAACAAGTCCCAGACGTTGATGGGCGCTCAGGCTGTGCCCAGGCTGGAGCAAAGTCTGGGCACGTGCTTCACTCCCCACGTCCTCCTCTCCCTGGCCTTGGCAGTAGCCTGGCCGTGGAGTCCTTGGACCTGCCTGTCCTGCTGCACAGTCTGGCTGTGTGGTTTGGCTCTGGAGGAGCTTCCTGTTTGCTGATGCAGACCTAGCCAGTATGGGAAAGAGAAGAATATTGCAGCTCCCTAGGAGTTTGAGGGGAAAAAAAAATTTTTGTGGAAGTTGTTTATATATATAAATAAAGTATGTATTTATATGTATATATATGGAAACTGTTCATTATGTTTGCAGGAAGAGCAGTAAATTTAAACAATTTTTTTTCAGCTGGCATAGACCTTTGAACTTAGGGTAGTTGTTACATTTTGGTTGTTGTGCCCTTTGAATATTTGGTTGAGCTGCCTCGAGTAACTTCTCTTGCAGTATTTTAGCTCAAGAATTCATCTTTGTTTTGTTCAGTGAAGAAAACTGAACCTTCTGGGGTTGCCATAAGCTTCTAGAGCTACGTTAAGATTTTCTTTGTTTTTTTTAATTAGGTTGTTCAAGGTCAGTTGACTTGAATCATAGCAGAGTTAGAGTTGTAGTAGATGTATCTTACTATAACAAACCAAAATGGCCAGGTTAAATCAAGAAGCCAAAAGGTGAAATGAAATAACATGCAAGACTATTACACTACCAATGTGTTTGCATGCAGAAAGAAAGGGGGAAAAATAATAATTTACATGTATATGGAAATGACTTTAACTAGAAGAAGAAAACAAGACTTGGAATGTGTGGTTGAATGTCAGAGAGTAAATAGGATTGCTTTTGTACTCTTCATTTCTTATTTTACTTTTATTTCTGAGTCAGTCATCAACTCTCCTTCTGTGCTTTTCTGGATAAGGTAGAGAACATATTTTAAAGTGTCTTTTAAGGCTAGGAAGTTTTCTTCTCTGCTTGGGACTAGCTTTATTTTTGAGGCTGAGTGAGAGATGGGAAAGGATGGGGTGGAAGGTTTTTAAACAGCTGGTTTTCCACTGTATGTTCTGTTGGTGGCTGCTGAGAAGACCAGATGAAGCTGAATTTTTCAGCTCTGAAGCTCTCAGAACCTCTGTCCCTGCAGGTCTGCCCAGCCAGAAGCCGAAGGAGCAGCAGCGCAGCGTGCTACGCCCAGCAGTGCTGCAGGCCCCACAGCCCAAGGCCTTCTCACAGATGGGTAAATGAGGCTTTTGCTTTCTAGAGCACCCTGCAGGGAGAATAGAACCACACAGGATGTGTTTAGTGTAGCACTTTGTTTTCACTCAGCATCTGCCTTTTTTCTAGGTTTCTCCTTTCACAACAGAAGCATCTGAAGTGTTCAGTGTAGCTGTTACATGAGGGATTACACAGTCAGACCTTCAGTTGCTGTTCAGGGTGACTGCCTGACACTGCCAGGCCTCTGACTTTGTAGTCTATGCTTCATTTTGGGAATAAAAAGACTTTTAAGGGTGTGGATTGTCAGTCTCAAACAGCAGTGTTGTCAGTGGTGTGATAGGCCACTGCTGATCAGATGGACAGTTGTAGATTTCAGGTAGCTGCACAGGGATGTAAAATGCTGAATTTGCAGGGATGTGGCTTTAGACTTGGACCATTTTGGAACAGGGACTTCAAGATCTAATTTCAACTCTAAGTTTGGTCACATGTATTATCCTTATAGTACTGTTATGGAATTGGTATAGCCAACAGAAATAGGCAAACTGGAAGTTAAAGCCAAAAAAACTGTTCAAGGTGTCTATGTCTCCTAAAACTCCTGTTTCCCCAGCACTTAATTTGTTATTTGGAAGTTCACCTGAACTGAAACAAAAGTAACTTCATTTAGTGCTGAATCTGGCATAGAAACAAACATTTCTAGCTTGATTTGTCTCTTGCAAAGTACTGTGGGAACTCTGTAGTTTACATTGTAGTGTTTCATGGACTTAAACAGGCAAACAGCATGCAATTTGCTATAGAAAACTTTCAGGACAATCTAAATACCTAGAGAATTTTTTTTATTATTCCTTCTTGCAGTTCTCAGCAGTGGCACCAATGGTGTAAATATCCTGCCAGATTCTGCAGCCACCTCGGAATCACTAAGTAATGCAGCACTGAAAAGTTCTGACTCTGAAGACAAGGTGAGTTGGAGGAGGACTGGGAGGACACTCCAGGTGACAGGCTTCAAAACAGTATTGTCTGAACAGAGTCTGTTTCTCTAGCAGTGTGAGTGCACCTTGATCAGATCACCCTCATCTGTCCATACTATGAACATACACTTTAGTAGGAGATTTTATGCTGTCCTAATAGTATGCTGTGTTTATCTTTACTAACTCAAGAGCTGTAACAAAGATTTACTGAATCCACAGCTTGGGCTGGTTTTTCACATCTGTTTATCCCTCACAAAATATAAAAAAACCAAACTTGCACTGTTCAGCTTCTAGTCCCATTGGTTCCTATTGGTCCTTCCAACTTTATTTCTACTCTTGCTGTAAAATCTTACTGCTGCTTAAGTGAAACCATTCCTGCCACAGGCACTAAACTCCTGTCACTTGGGTGTCTTGGTTCAGTGGACTGATAGAATACTGCTCTTTCATCTGATCAGGTGGCATGAAGAAATACATCTTCCTCCTGCAGGTTCATCTCTTACTCTGCATGCCGGGAGTAAGTCAGGAGGGTAGGAATTTCTCCTGTGAGGAGGGGGAAAAGCAGTCTACTCCTCCTCCAGTGGCTGTTGCCAGGTGGGACTGGTGTTCCTGGCAGGCCAGGGATTAGGAGGCATTTACTAAATCCCTGTTCTTGTCTGAAAAGGTTTTGGTTTTGAGCTGGGCAGACTGAGCAGTGTGTGCACATGTTCAGTCTTCCTTCTTGGACTGGCAGCAAAAAGATCCCATGCCCATGGATGGTGCTTTACTGGTGTTGTCCTGATTTCTAACAATTCAGTGGTGTGGGGAAATGTGAGGATGGAAAGAATAGAGGTAACTGGGGTGATGAGTTACTCATGAGGCTTAGAGACAGGAGATGATAGTTGGGTAGAAACCCAGAGTCTGCAAATAAATTCCCTACTAAAAATGGTGGAGAGAGAGTGCAGGTAATGAGGGTCTGTAAAGCTCCAGCTAGAGGAGGAGGCATCTAAGTGCATTAAAAGTTCTTTATTTGATATCTTGAAAGTCATGAAATAGCTCCTGCTGTGTTCTGTGCAGAGAAGCATGTCCAGTCCTTCCCTTCCTGCAGGTATTGAGCTAACAGCTGGCACCTTGGGATGCTGACTGAGGAGGATGTTTGAGGGTTTTTGAGGTTGTGTATATTTTATGTGTTGGGTTTCTTTTTTTGTAGCTTTGCTAGGCAATGGGTTGCTTTTTAATGCCACATCAGGCACTGAAGTAGTCTTAAAGATGCAGGAGTATGGAGTGGATTACTTGAGATTCAAATCTGAGTTGATTTTGACATCTGAGCAGAAAGACTTCCCAGTGTGAGTGGCTTTTTAAGGTCTAGTGGAAGGCTACTGCAATAATAAAGTAGCAATAAGGAAATTCATTGCATGGATCAGTGTCAAGTCTTTGTGGGACCTGCTTGTCACCTCTGTGTATGTTATTGGGAAACCCTCTATGCATTTTTAACATCCAAAAGTCCTCTTGACTTTAATTGAACTCCAGAACCTGGTCCAGTTGAGAGGCATTTCCTGCCCATGGCAGGGAGGTTGGGTTAGATGATCTCTGAGGGCCTTTCCAACCTAAGCCACTCTGTGAAGTACTGACCTGGGAGGAAGCTTTCTGATAGACAGCTCTGAAATCTGGGTGTTACTGATGGAGGAGAGTTAAGTACTAAATGCTATAAAGCTTCATAAGTGGACACTTGCAGTTTTACCAAGGAGTGTGGTGAGATGTTCTTCATTGCCTTGGCATTTGTAGTCAGCTTCATCTGCCTGCAGCTTTCTAGCACATTTGTAAGTAGTTGAGTTCATACAGTAGTTGTACCACATGCTGGAGTCTCTGCAGAATATTGGATTGCATAATAAGAGTGAGTTAAGTTTTATACTGGAATTAAGTTTTATATTGGCAGTTGTATGTCCAAATCTGTAGCATGGATGTGATGTACCACAGAGAGAAAAGCTTCCTCCTGAGGGCAGGTACAGGGTATTTGCATTTATGTGAGCCTGGTCTCCTCTTGTTAGGGCAGATATGACTCATGGTCTTATTTTACTGGCAGAAAAGACTTTTCTTCAAGGTCTCTGTCTTGTGCTTATACAAGGTGGGGATGTTCTCTCTCTGATCAGTGTCCTACTCTGAGCATCTCAGTAGTGACCTGCCTGTGTCTGAGCCAGGCCTTGTTTCTCTGCCTTGAAAATCTGGAGGAAATGATAGGAGCTCTAAGCAATCCATTCCTTAGGTGGGCACAAGCTGCAGCCTTCTAGTCAACCTGCCTTGGCTGGTGGGAGAGTCTGGTGGCTGAAAGTTGTCAGGTATGCAGGGAAGCTTGATAGGCAGCTGTGCAAGCCTACTGTGAAGAACTTGATCTTCTTGGCAGCAGGGAGATCCTGATCCTTACCCAGGAGGAGGAGGGACTGTTAAGGAGATCCTAGGCTAATGATTGTTCATTTTGTTCAGTAGAATGTTCCCCATGTCTGTACCATGCAGTGGTGGAAGGCTACTCCCAGCAGGCAACACTGGCCCATTTCTGACTACCAGCAGAAAAAGGATGTCTTCAAAGTGCCCAAATTAGAATCTGAAGGCCGATGATGCAGCTGGGTTATGCAGAGGTTGTGTTGCTTAGACATAAAATGGGGTTTGCAAAACTCCTTTGGAAGCAATCCAGTGTTTTCCCACTGGTGCTTTGCCCTGTGCTGTGTGGAACAGGCTGTGGCTGACAGCAGCTGCTGGCAACAACACCCTGCATGAGAGACTGACAGGAGGAGCTGGAGATCTGGGTGCAGTGGAGATCTGTAACCTCACTGGGGTCATGGATACAGACACAGATTCACTTGAACAGCTGGAGTACTGTGCTGGGTACACGTGGGCTTTCTAGGAAGTAAAGCAGGAAAGACAAAGGGATGGGTTCTGTTGAGCTCAAAAGGAGCTGCTTGAATGCAGAGGCTTTGGTTTTGGAAAGGTGCTGAGTTGGTCAAGGCTTTATAGATTGAGATCAGAGGGGGAGGCCATCAAGGGGGAGATGAAAGTGGACTTCAACTAGAGTTGGACTGATCAAGATGAGAAAGTAAGTAGCTAAAGCCTTTGAAGAACTAGAAGCTTCACAACTGCAGTCCTTGGTTCTAAAGAGGAGTTTTAAGAACTTTAACATCTGATGAATTGTTAATGTGTGCTGGTAGAAATACTCCTGGAGATTTTAGGAATAAGTTGAGGACAGGTTTTTTTGATGCAGGTGCTGGTTAAGTTGAGCAGGGAGGTACTCAGCTGGACCTGGTATTCACAGCAAAGAACAGGTTAGAAATACAGAGGTTGAGAGTAGCTCTGAGGGGGAGTGTGAGATCCTGAGCTTGTTGGTAGGTTCCTGAAGGACAGAAGAGCTCAGGAGAGCTTGTTATCTTCATGGGCAACCACTTCAGAGTGAGTAGTTTACCCCCATATGCAGGAAGTTGTGCAAATGTAGCAGGAGGCCAATGTGAATGAACTTGGGAGCTCCTTAAATCCAGAAAGGGAGTGGATGTAAGTTGGTAAAGAAGTCAGGGTACCAGAGAGGTGTGTGGGAGGATTGCCTGGATGTGTAGGTAGAGAACTGGGAAGGCCAAAGCTTAGCTGGAGCTGACCAGGAATGAAAGGACTGGAAGAAGGGCATTTACTGGTGTCTTAACAGCAAAGGCAGGGTGAAGGGAAAATGTAACCCTGCTGCCAAATGCTGGAGAGAAGCTAGTGATGGGGGAAAAAAAAAAATTAAAATGACATGGAAAAAAAAATCAGGATGCTAAAGAAAATCTGAGAAAGTCAATGCCTTTGTCTTGGTTTTCACCAGAGAACTCTACTGCCAGGTCCCTCTCCCTGAGGGAAGTTTGTAGGAAATTTAAGGACGGTGAAGGGAAAATGTAACCCTGCTGCCAAATGCTGGAGAGAAGCTAGTGATGGAAAAAAAAAAATTAAAATGACATGGAAAAAAAAATCAGGATGCTAAAGAAAATCTGAGAAAGTCAATGCCTTTGTCTTGGTTTTCACCAGAGAAGTCCACTGCCAGGTCCCTCTCCCAAGGGATAGTTTGCAGGAGAATTACTACAGTAGATTTGTTTAAGGACCATCTAAGACAAGTTTGACATGTACAACTCCATGGGACTGAACAAGATGCATCCGTGGGTGCTGAGAGAACTGGCTGGTGTCAGTGTGAGACCACTGCCTGCCATCAAGATGATGTGGTACTTTGGGAGGTCCCTGTTGCTGGGGAAGAGGAGAATATAGCACACATTTTCAAGAAGGGGAAGGAAGAGGTTCTGAGAAAGTAGAAACTGTTCAACCCCTTCCCCTCCCATCCTGGTGAAGGAGTCCTAGGATATGAAGCACCTTAAAGTGATGAAGAACAGCCAGCATGGATAAAACATGGTGACCAACCTGATTAGTACGTGGTTTTTTCTCTCTGATGATACTATTGGCTGTGCAGAGAGCAGTATGTGCTGGCTTTGACTGCAGCAAGGTCTTTGAGGTGGATGGTCTCCAACAGCATTGCCACAGCCAAACTGGAGAGAGATGGACTGGCTGGGTGGAATTTGGAGTGGGTGGAAAATTGGCTTAACCAGTGAGCTTGAAGGGTAGCGGGGGGTGCTCAGGTACCTGAGATGTTCCTATAGGGGTGAGAGTGAGGTCAGCATTATTTAGTGCTTACACAACCTGGCAAGGGGCAGTGAATCTTGTAAAGGGAGGGAAGAGGAAAATGGTCAATGTGGTGGAAGACAGGCTGGAGAATGAGCTCAGAGAAACCAAGTGATGGTCAGCAAGTGCAGAGTCCTGTCCCTGGGGTGTGGTGACCTGTGCCACCAGGACAGAGTGGCTGGGAAGCAGCTGTGCAGACAAGTGCTTGGGGAGCCAGGTGTTGCACAGAGGATGTGGAGACAAGTTCTTGGGTACAGAATTCATTAGCAGTGTCTGTAGCTGGCAGGATTACTACTAAGGGTGATATTTTATTTTGGAGGAGAGGAGAACAAAAGAGCAAAGTAAAGGAAAAACTTGAAACAAGGGGCAGGGCTTCCCCAGACTGGCATTTTCCCCTGGGGCATCCACTTCAGTGGAGCAGGTGGTACCCCTTGATACTCTTCCTGTAGTAGCTATGTAGTTTTCATCAGGATAGGCTCAACCTTTCCTGTTTTGGTGTTTTTTTCTGCTTGTGGTGCCATTAATGCTGACTGGAGGATGCTTTGAGGGGCAGCAGCTTTGTGCATGCATGTTGTTGGGTCTTCTAATGGAAATCAAAAGCTATAGGGTGGGGGATTCAGAGAATTGTAGAATCATTAAGGTTTGAAAAGACCTCTAAGATGATCAAGTCCAACCATCAACCCAACACTACCATGGCCACTACACCATGTCCTGAAGGACCATGTCCACAGGGTTCTTTTAACCCCTCCAGGCATGGTGATTAGGAGAGAAGAGGGAGGGGTGATTCCCGTGGGGGTTTCAGTTGCTTTCCAACACCACTATGAGGGTTGCAGCTGCAAGGCCATGAGTATAATGGGATGGGAATAATGGGGGAAAATACTGCCAGAGGTGCTCTGGAAGGTGCTGCCCTGACAGCTACACTGAATGGTTACAGAGCCACTAAGGGAAAGGGCTCCAGAGCTGCAGAATAACACAGAAGACAGTCCTTAACAGGGCAAAAGGTTCAGGAAACCTGGGGTTCTGTGCAACAGTGAAAAAAGTTGAAAACAAGTGGGCAGTGCATCCTTTTATTAAGACATTCTACAAGGCCACAGCCATGAGGTTCAGAGGAGTGATTCTCTGCCTTTACCTGCCACTGGTGGGTGGTGTCAGGAGCAGGGTGTGTGATTTGCCACTGCATGGAAGGTATTTGCCAACCACCAAGGTGATGAGTGCCTGGAGCACGTGATGCCTGATGGGCAAGTGCAAAAGCTGAGAGTGTTCTGCTTGGACTAGGGCACTGAATTGTTCTCAGCTATCTAGTGGTGGCTGTAGCAAGACAGAATGAGACTTGAAGGTCACTACCAGACAAATGAAGCTGCAAGTGTGGGGAATGGGGAATTCCAGCTGGGTATTGGGATAGAACTGTCACATTTAGTGCAGTCAAACACTGCACCAGGCTGCCCAGCTGTCACACTGCTATCCTTGGCTTTCCTGAGACTTGTCTGTGTGAGGTTTCAGGTAGCCAAGCATAACTTAGAAGCTGATGCTGCTTGGAGCACGGTTTGGAAATTGTCAGAGATCCCCTTGAACCTTAACTACCCTGTGGTTCGTGAGGAAAGATGCTCTCAACAGAGGCTTTTTTAAATGCAAAATTTGCCTTGTAGCTCTGGAGATGTTACTGGCTCACCATGTCATACCCTGGGGGTTTTGTCTGAGGAAACTGAACTACCTAGGCTAAAGTTTTCCATTTCTTTCCTTTAGGCAGGAGAATGTCAGAAAAAAGAGTCCAACAATACTTCAGATGATGACAGCTCTGAGAAGGCAGAACTAAATGCACAGCAAGCATTTGTATTTGGGCAAAACTTAAGAGATAGAGTGAAGGTAAATGCACGTTTCTCTCCACTAGCCATTGATGTGTTTGAGGATGAGCAGCAGTGGAACAGATCCTGTGTTGGCATGAGTACTGCACACTCCTTATGAGGTACTTCAAAGCCACTATATAACAGAGTTGAAACCACCATGTATGTATGGGAAATGAGAAGCTCTGAAGACAGTTCAGTTGGTGTTTGGTAAAACAGACATGTAATAAATTAACACTGTTCAGTGGTGTAAGAAGCTTTTTCAAAAATAAATGCACCTACTCAATCACAGGTAATGTCTAAAGCTCAGTGCAATGGACTGTTCTCTCTTGCCTTTTGGGTCAGAACAAGTTGACATGTGTTTCTAAGATGTTCCCATGCAACCAGGACTTGACAGAGAAGCTGGGGGAAGAAACAGGGCAGCCTGAGTTCAAACCTGAGCACAGCTGAGCTGTGTTGTTAGTACCTCCTGTTGACAACAGGTCTGTGCAGGCCTGCCAGTGGAACAGCAGTGTAATACTGGGAGATAGGCTTATATTGTCTGATTGTAGGAAGTGTTTGGGCTGGAACTTTGTCTTGGGAAAGGATGAGCTGAGAATTGTGGACAGTAGTCAAACCTGTCAATTCTTTTTGTAGCTAGGAGATGAAAGTGATGAAGCTGCTGATGTCCAGAATGCTGGTCTTCCTCCATCAGACACACCTTCTGCAACTAATTACTTCCTACAGTACATCAGTTCCAGGTGAGACTACAGGGACACCTGTAGGACAGTTTTCCTTATTTTGTGCTCAAAATTTTGTGATTCTGTTCTTCATAGGATGCAGGCTTTACACTGGGTCAGTGGGAGCCCAGGCTTCTGGAGAATGTGGTAGTGAACTTTATATCTGGGGGACTCCCCAGTCATCTGCTGCAGGGAGATCACGTGGCACTGTTTGTTTGGCCACGTCCTCACCAAAGCCTCTTCAGAAAAATAACAAGCATAAGATGAGAGAAGTCTTCTCATGAATGATTAGAAAGAAACAGTGTTGGAAAAAAATTTGAACTGTCAGCAGTATCCTGTAGATATCTGTGCTGTATTTGTGTATTTGATGTTTGATATATGATATGGATCAAGGAAAGATAGTTTAAAAAAGAAAAGATTGTTTGTTTGTGATAAGACTTTTTTCAGTGGTATAGAGGGTCTGTATGAACAAGCAGGAACCTAACTGTGGGAAGGTCTTTGAGAGAATTTCTGATGAGGCAATAGCATCAGAGGGAGTTTGCTGTGGGTACATGTAAGGTCAGGCAGCCAGGAGAACTCTGCTAGTTCTGTCCGTGCAGTGGTGAGCTCTGAACCAACAGTCTCTGCTTAAGGCTCAGATGTCAGTCTAGCTCTGTGAAAGTGTTAGCTCAGTAGTGCTCACAAAAAAGGAAGCACAGTAACAAAGTAGAAAACAGAAGAGAACATCTTACTACACAGAGCTGTGAGTTCAAGTAATAACTGGAAAAGCATGGGGGAAAATCCCACTGAGAGCAGTGGAGCAGAGACATCCCTGCTCCTGGAGAACCTGGGCTGCAGACCGTTCAAGGCTGTGAAGCTGTGGTGGGAGAAGCAGCAGCATGTGCTTGGCTTGTCCTTCAGCCTGCATTGCTCTTCACCACAAAGCAGGTACTAGCCAGTTGTGCAGCCTGGATCCTTTGTGATACTGAGCTTTTCAGATGCAGTGGAGGGGCAGAGAACACCCCAGAGTGCTGCTGTGGGTGCCAGGTCAGTGCCTCTCCAGGGACACTGCCATGTCTCTTTTAATCAGTTTGGCAGAAGGTAACTTCTAGTAAGTGGGCTTCAAATTCTGGAACACTTGTCATACAAGTTGAAAGACATAAACATCTGCTGCCATATCTGGATTGACTCTTCACTTTGGGAGGATTTACTCATGGCAGATGAATTCACAGAAACCTGGTTTTGGATTTGCCTTTAAAAGAAGTGTGTCTAAGTGGAGTTGGATCCTTTTTAGCTGAGATGTGGAGACATGGCAGGTGCCTTGTAAAAGGAAAACTCCTCCCTTTCTGTAAATGCTGACAGCCATCTGAAAATTGTACATGTGCTAGGTCACATAGCAGCTCTGGGCAGATCATATTGAGTTCTGAGTTGGCACTTGGGGATCAGAACTGTAGATGAGGTGCTTAGGGACATGGTTTAGTGGTGGACTTGGTAACGTTAGGTGAGTGGTTGGACTGGGATCCTAAAGGTCTTCTCCAACAGAAATGATTCTATGGCTCTAATTGCCTTAGCAGGCAAAACTTTCTTCCCCTGAGGATCTCCCCTGTTCTTTGAATCCCCTTAGTCCAAAGTAGCAACCATACATGCACATTTGAGGTTTGCTTGGTTCTGCTTGAGTCGTGCAGGGACATGTGCCCCTTTTCCAGACTGGGTGATAGGTACATAGGTCTCATGTCAGGTGCTCTCCATTCAGCAAGTTCCCCCAGTAAGCACAGTGATGACTTAGGGGTGCCTGAAGGGAAGGCAGGTGAACAATGACTTCTTCAGTCCATAAACATTAAAACCATAGTCTTTCCTAAATAGGATTTAAAATCTGTTAATAGAAATGCACCAGGGAGGAGCATGCTTATTCTGTGAGGAAGATGAGGGCTGAGATCAGCATTGCTTGATATGTAAAGGGAATATATTCCCCATGACAAAATGATTTGACATCATCCTGAGAGAACTGTCATTCTGTAAAGCCAGTGTGTGCTCTTGTGTTACAGAGTTGAATTAATTTTTGTTTGTGTCAATCAGTGCTTCGTTTTTAAAGCCAGTGACAGTTGCTCACTTTTTGAGGATTTTTGTCATAGAAGATCATAGAATCATGGACTGGCATGGGTTGGAAGGGACCCTAGAGATGCTCTGATCTACCTCCCTGCCATGGGCAGGGACCCCTCTCAACTACAGGTTGCTCCAGGCCTCATCCAGCCACTGCCCCACACAGCTCATGTCCCCAGCACACCAGCTGAGGGTGCCCTCGGTGCCACCATCCATGTCCCTCACAAAGATCTTCAACAGCACAGGGCCCAGAGCAGACCCCCAGAGAGACAGATATTTTCCTGACTTATAAAACCTGTTCTAATTTTCTTTTTTTCATTTCAGTGTAGAGAACTCTACAAACAGTGCAGATGCATCTAGCAACAAGTTTGTTTTTGGACAGAACATGAGTGAGCGAGTCCTAGTGAGTATACACTGTGTATGAGATGTAACTCTGGGAGTAGTTTGAGTTATGGATTCTCACCCAGGAACTTTGAGAACTGTTAAGTGTACTTGTCTCTGGAGCAGGGTTTTCCTGTAGTGATTTCCCTTGTAGGTGACTTATTTTGGGTGTAGCACGGGGGTCTCATGAGCTGTTGTCTGCCCAGCAGCACTCTCCAGGATGTCCCTGCCAAGCTCTACCAGTGTAGGGAGATTGTGTTCTCCATAGTGCACGTGGTTCTCCACTCCAAGCACTTTAAATGGCTTCTTCACTATCATCATCTGAGGATGTTTCATGTTTGCTGTCCTCCAAATTGGAAGAGTTCAGTTGTGACTCCCCCAGTGAGGGTTTCAAGTCCAGCAGTAGGGTGGCTGCCCCAGTCCTGGGGTGTGAGTCAGGAGATGGTTTGTGTCCCAAGCTCAGGTGTAACTTGGTGCCTCCCTCTTCCCCACTGCTGTTCTTATCACTGTGCTGGTGCAGAGGGAGATGTTGAATGCTGGGTGGTTGTACCTGCCTGACCACTGGGCAGGGAGCTCAGTCAAGCATGCCTTGAGTTGAGCTGTAGCTGAAATTGGTTTGCTCTGTTGAGCATAACCTAAAAATAAGGTTTGAAATTTGGGTTCAGTTCAGGGGAAAATAATTTGAAGTGGTTTTCAGGTCATGCTCCATTCAGTTCCTTGGCTGAGGTGGTAGGATAGCTTTTGCTGTGAAAGCATATTGCCTGTGGATTCTTCTTGTGCTGTATGGTTTGTAGAGACCAGGGCTTCCCTCAGTAGCTGATCACTAGTTTTGTTCTGCTAATGAGTGTGTGCTTTCTCTGTTCTGTTTACCTCCTCTTCTCTTTGTGATAGAGTCCACCAAAATCAAATGAAGGGAGTGCAGAGAGTAATAAGGAGAATGCTGCTACAGAGTCTGGTTCTGAATCATCTTCTCAGGAAGCCACACCAGAGAAAGGTGAAAAAACAAATTTTGTTTTAGCATTGCTAGTTCATCCTTGTTTAAATGATGGCATTTTTCAAAATCATGTTACTTTATAAAAACATAACATTTTTACAGCTATTGTAACCAAAGGTGTGGAAGGGGACATGCTGGATGCTGTGGATTCTCTTGTCCTTTTGTCTCTCATACTAAGCACATGCAGGCTACACTGTCTTCCCTGCACTATTTCTGCAGTATTGGGAGTGTCTTCAGCAGAATGAAAGTAGAGTGCAGGTGCTTGGACCTGCAGAGTGTAGAAGAAATGCAGCAAACTGGGTTTTAATAATTCTGTTATACTCCGTGGGACTGAAAATCTGAGTCAAACATATATTGTGTTAAGTGAGTGCACCAGCTGTCTTGCTTGAATCAAAAACTGTGTGCTGGGTTCTGGAGTTCTGTGACTCCTCAGATGGGCAAGATTTTTCTTCTGGAAATTTTGGGAGTGATGTTTTCTCCATCAAACTGCTTTCAAACCACCATAAAAGTGGAAAACCAATCTCACAGTATGTCCAGCTGGTAGCAGTGTCTGTGCTGCTGGAGGACCTATAGATGCATAGGTTGAAATAGTGTATGTGGGGACAAATTTTGTCAGTAACTACCTTCTTCTGTCCTTTGTGTCTTTTTGTGCTTTTAAAACAAGTCTTAAAAGACAGCTCTAACTCCTGCTCTGAACTTCAGTCCTATTTCTGATATGCTATTAATGTCTGTCTTATGTACTTTGTTTCTGCAAATTCTGGTATACTCATGTGAGACCTTTATAAGTCCAACAAAATTACATACCAATCATTCTCAAACTCTCAAAATGTTGTTCAGCTAATAATATTTCAGAGTCACTGGCAGAGTCTGCAGCAGCCTATACTAAAGCAACAGCAAGGAAGTGTTTATTGGCAAAGGTGGAAGTGATCACTGGGGAGGAAGCTGAAAGTAACGTGTTACAGGTAAGGAGTGGGTGAGGTAGGGGAGCTTTGAGCTGATGGGGATTCACAGGGGTGTCACCCCACCTGATTCCCTACAGCTCAGCCATCCTCTACATCTGATGTACTTTCTTGTGTTAAAATGCAAACTTTGGATATTTATTATCAGATCGTTCTTTGTTTCTTAACTTCTTCTGTGGATAAATTTCAGTGCTTGAGCCATCCAGACGAATCTCAAGCATAGTTAATCCCAAATCTGTCACATAAAAGATTCTGTGTCCTACAAAACAATTCTTTGAAGCAAATTTAAATGGACTAAATACTGAGTTCTTTAATAATTGAACTACTGAAGATTTTTTTACATTGTGAATGGACTAGTGTGCCAGTAGTCAGGTTTCTTGTGTAGTAGAAACCATAAAACAGTACTCAGGAATTTGTCTTGAGGTTATTAATTGAATTAGTGGTGTTTTAGAAGGTCATGATTTCAGTCACAATTCAAATCAGGAATTCTGTTTAACATTGTAATGATACATTAACTTGAATATACTTTCTAACTTTTAATATGTCCTTAAGAAAAACAGGCAGAGTTTTCATGTGAAACTAAGTGGTGTAATGTCTTTCTTCCTCTCTTTATTCTCCAGTTATAGCTTTTTCCTGATTTGCTCAGCACTTGAACTGCATTATTAAGGATAGCTTTTTGTTCTTAAAGACATGCTGGTCTCTTCTGACACCAGACAGATGCCCAGTGTTGGTAGCTAGTGCCTATCAGTTACACTTGTGTTATCCTACAGAATAATTACCTGTACTGTGTCTTCTGAGCTTCTCTTCACCAGACATGAATGGTCTTTACTTGCTCAGCAAGGCAAGAAAGGAGGAGCTTTTATGGCAGGAGAGCAGTCCTACCATCACAGTATGGAGGGTGTGCTCCTTCAGAGTGGTGAACCAGGACAGCAGGACAGCCCCCTCCTGTTGACTCCTGACTGTGGGTCAGGCTTCATGCACTGTCAGTGGCCCAGCATGTCTGCTCAGCATTTCTCCCCTGGTAGAGGAGGAATGTTGCCTTGCTTTGCATTCCTTGTGCTGGGTCTGCCCAGCCACAAATGCCACTTCCAAGGGGGCAGGGTGCACCTGAGACTTTAAAATAATGAACTGGTTTAATACTGTAGATAACTCTTAGCTAGTCTTCTATTACAGTAAGCTTCCTCTGTGGAAATTTTTGCCTTATCTGAAAGTTGTTCTTCTGGTTTCATTTTGCACACAGGTACTTCTTAAGAATATGTAGCTTCTGTTAATAAATCCTTATGAAACCAGGCAGCATGTTCTGAGGAATTTATTTCAAGAGAAGGATGACTACTTTGGCTTCCAAAGCTATAGACAGTTTAAAATTTCAATATGAAATCTGGATACTTTTTAACCAGCTGTAGCTGACTGAATATTAAATATATTACTACTTCAATCAGCCACTGTGCTATAGAGCTGTTTTCTGTTACAGATTCAGTGCAAGCTGTTTGTATTTGATAAAACCTCTCAGTCTTGGGTGGAAAGAGGTCGAGGACTTCTGAGACTCAATGACATGGCCTCAACAGATGATGGAACATTACAGTCTCGGCTGGGTAAGAGGAGCCAGGGGAGGTGAGGCACTGGATGACAGGCAGTGCTCTTTTCATAGGATGCTTCCATGACACACAGCAGCATCCACTATAGGTCATGTCTTAAATACACAACTCAGGAGCAATTTGGGCCACTTGTTTCAATTTATGACCATTTCCTCTGTGTATATTTTAATATCCTCCTACTGTTCCAGCTACTTTTTTTCCCCATAAAATCAAGCTCTGTTTAGCAGCTGGAATATTTGACTAGAAGTTTATGGTATAGTTCTTTGGATCTGGGGTGCTCGTGGTGGAGGAAGTGTCTTTGAATAGTGACAATTGTTCAGACTGTCAGGAATGTGCATTTGCTTGAGATGATCAGCTCAGATCCAGCCACTGAACTTTGATGTATTAACATATAAGACTTTGGACTAAATATCTTTAGACATGACTGATAGTCTGCAACATTATTCTGATGAACAGTTGTCACAAGATTCTTGTTTTAAGGCCTTTCTCTTTATATTCTTTGTAAAGAACAAAGAGCCATCCTGGCTGTTTCGAGCTCCATGTTGTCTTTTTCCACCTAACTGATGTTGTATGTTGGCTTTAGTGATGAGGACTCAGGGGAGTCTCAGATTAATCCTGAACACCAAGCTCTGGGCTCAGATGCAGATTGATAAAGCCAGTGAGAAGAGCATCCGCATCACGGCCATGGATACAGAGGACCAGGGAGTTAAAGTCTTTCTTATATCAGTGAGTCCTGTGTTCTGTTCACATCTTACCTACTCAAATTTGTCCTTGCTTAAATTGTAGTTGTGGTAACATTCCCATTGTCCTTTGCATGTCCTTACCAACACATCTCCTCCCTCCCCTCCAAAGACACAGGGATTGGCAGACTTTTGTTTTGAAGAAATTCCACATTTAAAAGGCTGCCCTAGGAAGCCAAATTGTCCAGAATATTGGCCATGGAGTCATGGGATCTGTTTGGTGCCTGCTGAGACTGTTATTGTAGTGTAGGATTAATGCAAACCATTGTTTGCTATCGAGGTGCAGTCAGCAAGAAAGAGGATGTTCCATAATGTCTGCTAAGAGCACTTGCACAGTTTTTGAGAGGTCTGGACACATTCTTTTGACTTGCATTGATTCCACACAAGGAGTTGCTAGATTTGAGGGTGGTTCTGGATGGGACACTAAGACATCAGCACAAAAAGTTGGGGTCAGCTTCCCCTGTGATGTTACATTTGTAGGACTGGGGTCTGGAGTCCCAGAGTGGATCTTGATACCAAATATCCACTGATGGAGAAAAAGCAGTGAAATTAATGGATAACTTTTTTCTCAGTGTTTTTCTGGGTTTGAAAAGTGAGTTACTGTCATCAGGTTATTCCCTATTAATTTTAGTATTGATAAAGAGTATTTTGTATGGAATTATTTATTCATTACAGCTTATTGCAGGGGAATTTTGCAGATACAGGGGTGACAAATTTAAGTAGCAGATGGGGAGTGTGGAAACAAATCTTTATGAAAGAATCTGAGAAGTGGGATCATTACCTCACAGTTAAATTGGGGTAATGATAATAGTAGTTAATGAGGACTGAGTGTAAGAAGTGGGAGAGGGGGGAAGAATCATCACCTGCCTGACTGTATCTCCATTCAGTTTTCTGATGATATCTTGTGTTGAAATTTCATGGTGGTGCATCATGAAACAGTTAAATCACTCAATTACAAATAATATGTGCAGTTGAGTGATTGACAGACCAGGAAAAATCTGTGCAAGACAAACTTTTTAAAGATGTTTCTGAGAGGGGTGAAGGAAGCCTTGTGACTCCTGGGGGAAGACTGCATCAAATCAGCCAGTGCTGGTTTTGTCAGCCAGAGACAGTCAGTGCTGAGTGGAGAGGATCATGCCCTCCCCATCAGAGTTCAGTACACCTGGCATCTTGCTGTGTACCCTGCATCCATCCTGACCCAGTTTGGAAAACCC